GTTACCATTTCTGAATTTATTGGCCCTTGTTCAACAGTAACTTCTACTAATTCTTCTCGACTTAAAATTCCATCCTCACTTTCAAACAAATTCTCTTGTTGTATCACTCCAATGTCCTCATCTTCTTGACATGGTCCAAATGCATCTTCATCAGGCAGAAAATCATACAAATCACGAGGTTTTGTCTTGATTACAACCTGCCAATTTGGGTCTTTTTTATCTGGAACATAATACACTTGTTCAGCTTGAGTAGCCAATACAAAAGGTTCATTAGCACTGCTTTTCAGTTTACGAGTGATATTTACTAGCGTGAACTCATATTTATCTTCCTTACAACCTCTACTAGAAACATCCCACCAATCACACTTGAAAAGAACAACTGTATGCCCTTGATAATCGAACTCTATAATATCAGTTAATACTCCAAAATAATCAATGTTCCCGGTGCCTTCATCTCCTTTGACAAACACTCTACTATTTTGTGTTTTCAATTTCATATCATGATCTTTTGTACAAAATTTCCAACCATTAACAAGATAACTAGCATGTTTAGTTACCCTTTGGTCAGGTCCACAAGCTAAAATTTCAAGTTCCTCATTATATACCTCACTTCGTTCATATTTCAGATGAAACACCTAAATAAAAAGACAAATAAACAAACATTTAAAAATAAATCATAAAGCAATAATAATTTATGAATTTATGTTTATTATTTTTAAAAACTAGAATGCCAAACCTAACAAGGAGCCAAATCCTCAACTAGCAAATTACACTGCACCTATTCTTTGTTGAGGCTGTGACAGTAAGTTTGCACATACTTTATTGGTATTTTTAAAGAAATGGAGATTTAAAGAACTAGAATTCCTGAAACAAATTTAGTTCAGTTTATTTCCTGGTTTTTTGTTGCATTTTAATTCTTGTTTTCATGCTTAGTTGCTCTTGGTCAATGCTTTTAGAAAATGTACTAAAAGTTTGGGAAAAGCTACTTTGTTCACATGGTTGCTACTTCTTTTTTTTTTTGTCCATTATACCAGACTTGTACATATTTCAAGTCTGGATGAAATCCTTCAATTGTTTTGCTCTCCATCTTCGTTATTTTTCTTTAGACAATGTAAACACTTTACATGGGATCAGAGCCTACTCTGATCCTTGAGCGGCCATGAGTTTTGAGTTAAAAAAAATAATAATAAATTTCGTCTCTTTTCTGATTCCATTTCTATAGATGGATTCCAACATCAACAGTTTTAAGGATCCAGTTTTTTCAAGGCAAAATTATACAGCCTGTGCAGTAACAATGAGAGCTTACATCAAGGCCTTTGATTTATGGGATGGGGTGGAAAGAAACAAGGAGCCCAAGAGAGAGAACAAAAGAAAAGAACAAAAAAGGCCTGAACAAACAATCACGGTAGTTTGTATTCATGATTGCAAGATTAAATGAGGTTATAAAGAATCAAGAAGAGTATAGATTATCTTTGAAAGAGCAAATAGATGATTTGAAGAAACAACTTGAAGAATCTCTTCATCAACAACAGAGCCAATCTTCTAACAACATGATTGATGTGTCTGATATGGTCCGTACTCAGTTGGAAACCCTTCTTCCCAAATACACAGGTCATTTTAAATAGAATATGGAACGGAAAGGAAGATGTTCCTTTACAATTAGGTTTTTTAGATATTTATTTTTATTGTTTTTAATATTAATTTAAATTAGAACAATTGGATTTTATGTCATTTTTAATTAATGATTAGTATCTTATATTTATAATATTTTGTCACATTTTTTTCTTTTAAATTTAATATGCTTTAAAACAAAATTATTTGTATTAACCAAAGTTAATAATTATGAAATCA